CCCCAAAACCCCAAAACCCCAAAACCCCAATTTCACAACCAAAAGTTGTAAATAAAATATAAAGATGGATATAAGAGTCAACAGAAATAAAAGAAGGCGGAGAGGAGAATTATATAAGTCACAAAGTCAGGTTCCTGGTATTAATTCAGGTGAGAAGACCCAGAACCCTCTTTCGAAATATTACAGCCAACACGGAGAGAATTAACTAAACAAAGTGCTTGTAAGCAATACCAATGAAGGCCAGATTAGTAAGAGAATATGGTCATAACCTTGTTTAGAAGTTGAATATAAGCCATTAGAGAGGCTGAAGAATTATGATTTGGCGAAGATTGTCCAGAAATATCAAAAGCCTAGCTCTGAAATTGCTACAAATTGGAGTGAGCTTTTTGATAAATAATTTAGCCACAATGTTTTCAAGTACCAGAAATGATAATTCTCAGCAAAATCTGAAGATCTCCAACCTTCTTCGGTTTAGCAACACTAATTCAAACTTCCAGTTAAATAAATCTCCAAAGCGCGACACTTTGCGGAGAAAACAAAGTACTGGAAAGAAATGGGATAACTTTTTGTTCACTAAAAAGAATTACCAAGAAATTAACTCAAGTAAGATGACTTCTTGAAACTTAGGTGATCTGAAAACAGCCCAAAAACCAAAAATTTATGATAAGTAAGCCTGTCTTATGACCTTTAGAAAAATTAGAAGACCTTACTCACTAGACAATTCAGTTATGGAACAGCCAAAGAACAATAAAAAGGCTAATAAAAATTCACGGTCCTTACCTAGGTTCAAATTTGATTCCACAAAGCCCTTCTTGGGCAAATTTTATTATGAAAAACGCAAGAGTGAACTAACCAATAGACTTGGTTTGACAACAGGCAAGACTAAATGTAAGAACGAAACTCTGGGTGCAAAAACAAGCATAAAACTTGTTTTGAGTTACTAAAATGAAACCTTTTGTGTCAGCCCAAACAATAGGTTCATATTTATTGGAAACAAAAACATATTGTAAAAATTAAAGTAGAAGATTAGGTCTAAAACAATAAATATATTATCAAAGAGAATATTTAGTTTTCATTCAATAGTGTGCAATTTGGAATCGAAATACTATAGCTGCTCAAAATAGCCAAATCTTAGACTCAAAAAACTCCAAAGATGTATCATTGGTAGATATCTGCAAGAGGATGGAGTTTAAGTTCAACAAGTACAAATAGAGACAGGGAGAAGTACTTCCAAACTCCAGAAGAAAAAGAAAGAATCACTCTTAGCAATGTTCAGAAATGTAAAGACCCCTAGTCACTTTTAGACTTCCCAAAGAACCTAATCCAGCAGATAAAAGAGGAGATGAACAATAGAATGCTCAAGAAAAAGATAGAGGATATTGGACAAGAGAATAACCGTACAGAACTATGAAATCTAGTTAAGAATTACGATAAAGAGCCTATATATCTTTCTCTGAATAGTAAGAATTTGTGTTACATTTTAGATATAGAGAGATATTTACCGCAGCATGAGAAAATTGATAGGAAAATGGAATTCGAAAATGAGCAACTCACCCCAACATCTCAAAGTAAGATAATAGGTCATTTTTAGATGAGCCTAAACGAAGGTGGCTGAAAGTTAGTGATGGGTTTGTAGACTCTTTTCCTATACAATAGAGAGATTTGTTCAGAATATTAGAATTCAATATAAAGAATACAATTGGGGTTTTGGGGTTTTGGGGTTTTGGGG